GGCTTGGCGCCCAGAGCGTGCCCCGGAGCGGCGGCATAGGACAAGGAACTGGGTCACGCGAGCCCGAGGCACGGGCGGCGGAGTGCTGGGCGGTGCTCGGCCGGCTGTACAGGTTCGCGGCCGGCTACCCGCGTCTGGCGCTGGCCGTGGGCAGCTCGGCAAGTGGGCTGCAGTTGTACCTGGCACTGGAGCTGGGGTGGGGTGGGGGGTGGGGTCGGGGTGGAGTAGGAGGGTGGGGTGGGGTGGAGTGGGGTGGGGTGGGGTGGGGCGGGGCGGTCCGCAGGGTGAGCTGGCCGCCGTGACAAAGGCGCCTGGGACCGGTAGGGTGAAGGTGTGCGGAAGCTGGGACCCAGCAGGGGGCAACGCTTCTCCCCCGCACCCCGCACCATTTCTGGAAACTCTGGGGTCTTAGGTGTAGTCCGTTCGCACTCTGCAGGACCCTCCTGAGGAGGAGGGGTCTTTCCATGCATCCCAGGCAGCGCTGCTGCTGCGTGAGCTACTTTGTTCCCGGCGCAAAGCCGGAAGGGAGCGTCGTTCCTGCTCCCGTCCCCCATCTTCCTCCCTTCAGCCCCCTCTATTGCTCTCCAGAGGGCCAAGGGCATGACCTAACTAAAGTGACATCCTATCCCGAAGTATGGTGAAGTTCTTCTCACCCCCAGAATGCCTTTCCCCTTCTTAGGAACCTGGCAGATTCGTCAACCCACAAGCCCGGGCTCAGATACCGGCTCCTCCCTGGATCCCAGCCCCCACTGGTTCAGACAGCGCCATTAAGCTTCCCTACCACTCAGTTCCTAGCAAGCCAGAGCTAATTACCTGTAGGACATTCGCCTGAGAGTCAGGTTCCTTGGGTTTGAATCCTCACTGCCTGTGACAAATTCAACCAATCTGTGCCTCAGTTTCCTCATCTGTAAAATGAAGATAGCGAATATTTATTGGGGGATAGGCGTTCTAGAATACTTGGGTATAAAGTGCTTAAAACAGCTCCTGACACTTAGCAAACATCATTTAATAAATGCTGGCACTTACGTGGTTCTGAAGATGGGGCCCAGGTGCATGCTAGGCAAAGGGGGCCCCACTGGCCACATTTCTACTCTGCTCCACTGCATACAGCATATGGATCTTTTGCTGTTATTAAGATCACCCTTAGGGGCCTGGAGAGATGGCCCAGGGGTTAAGAGCACTGACTGCTCTTCCAGAGGACTGGGGTTCAATTCCCAGCAGCCACAAGGCAACTCACAGCTGTCTATAACTCTAGTTCCAAGGCATGTTCCAACACCCATGGCAAAACACCAATGCATATAAAATTAAAAGATCACCCTTACTGCCTTTGAGACAGGCTCTCTCCATGTAGCCATGACTAGCCTGGAACTCACTCTGTAGACCAGGCTGGCCTCAAACTCACAGAGATCTGCCTGCCTTTGCCTCCCAAGTGCTGGGATGTAAGGTTTGTGCCACGATGCCCTGCCTGCCACCACTCTTGAAACCGGGAACTTATTGTTATTTTATTCATTACTGCAGCTCACCCTCTCCATCCCTGTCCTGTCTTCTTCTCCCATGGAAACATTTGTATTCTTTCAGATTTATGTGTGTAAATGCTTTACCTACATGTGTGTCTGTGCACTACATGTATGCTTGGCACTTGAAGAGGCCGTAGATGGTATTAAATCCCCTGGAACTGGAGTTAACAGAGGGTTGTGAGCCTCCTTGTGGGTGCTGGGAACCGGACCCAGGTTTTCTGCAAGAGCAACAAGTGCCCTTAACCACGGAGCCATCTCTTCAGCCTCTCCACTTACATTTTCTTTCTTTCTTTCTTTTCTTTCTGTTTTTCTGTGTAACAGCCCTGGCTGTTTCTGGAACTCACGCTGTAGACCAGGCTGGCTTCGAACTCACAGAGATCCTCCTGCCTCTGCCTCCCGAGTGCTGGGATTAAAGGTGTGTGCCACCATCGCCCGGCTAAATATTTTTTTAAATTACATTTATACCACGGGTGTCTGCCGGTGTGCACCTACGCTATATGCGTACATGTAGGAGTCAGGGGGCTTTTGGGTGTCATTCTCCCAAAATCATCATGTATGGCCTGGGATTGAACTCGGGCCGACGGGTTTGCCGACAGGTACCTCCCAGCGCCTCCTCTTCCTTCTGTTCCATTCACACACCTCCCAGCTTCTGTTTCCAGCCCATCCCAGTGCTGGGGTTAGGAATCACCGCTGTTTATGAAGTGCCTACTGTGTGCTGTGCCATTGTCCGTCCAGCCTTCCACCCGAGCGGCCACCATTGCTTGCCTGGTTCTTGAGAACAGTTGCTCTAACTGCAGCCAAGAGGATCTTTCTAAACTGGTTTCACCTGGATTCTCCAGTGTGGTAACAGGCATTTTGCCATGGTTGCAAGCCCTGGGAGAATCAACATCCAGCTACCTTAGCAGCCCTACTCCTCCCAGTGTGCACACCCCTGGAGTGCTTGCACCCCAAGAAACACCCTCCCCCTTCCTTCCCTCTGTAGCCCTGGCTGTCCTGGAACTCAATTCTGTAGCCCAGGCTGGAGTTAACTCTGCCTCCTGAGTGCTGGGATCAAAGGCGTGCACCACCACTTTCTGATCATAATCATTTTTTTCTCCCCCCTGAGACAGGGTTTTTCTGTGTAGCTCTAGCCATCCTGGAACTCACTCTGTAGATTAGGCTGGCCTCAAACTCGGAGATCCACCTGCCTCTTTTTTTACTTTTATTTATTTTTGTAAAGAGACTGTCTCCTGCCTCAGCTTCCTGAATGCTGGGATTACAGGTGTGTGTCACAATTCCTGGTTCTCCTTCTTCTAGCAATCCCACTCGGAAGCAGTTTTTTTGTGTGATGTGTGTTCGTGCGCACTGCAGTGGTCATGTGGAGGGCAGGGAATGGCTTTGTGGCGTTGATCTTTCCTTTCACCTTTCCGTGGCTTCTGGGGATGGACCTCAGGCCACCAGGCTTGCTCAACCTACTCATCTATTGTCCTTATTTTCCTGGAACTCACTTGGTAGCTCAGGCTGGCCTTGAACTCAGAGATTCACCTGGCTCTGCCTCCTGAGTGCTGGGATTAAAGGCGTGCGCCACCACCGCCCTGGCCAACCTTATTTGGTTCTTAACTCATTATAACTCTGGGTTCTTGTGACAGGGTAGGTCAGCTGACCATGTAGAGGACTAAACACCACCACAAGGATGTCACAGCCTTCCAAGGCAGACACAGATAGGGCCACGTCAACATTTATCCGGAGTCGATTTAGTGTGGGTTTCAGAGCTCCCCTGTTCTCAGGCATCCTCTAAGTCTGTTCTAGCTGGCACCTGTGCTGTTTCCAGGACCACACTTTTTTTTTTCTTTTCTTTTCTTGAGACAGGGGTTCTCTGTGTAGTTTTGGTGCCTGTCCTAGATCTTGCTCTGTAGACCAGGTTGGCCTCAAACTCACAGAGATCCGCCTGCTTCTGCCTCCGAATGCTGGGATTAAAGGCGTGCGCCACCACCGCCCAGCCACACCTTTTTTCTTTGCTAGAATTGCAGGCATGTCTCATCATGTTGAACTTATACCTTTTTGTGTGTGTAAAATAGGGCTTTGATATATACTTCTGCCTTAGAACTCTATATAGATCAGACTGGCCTTGAATAATCCTCCTGCCTCTGCCTCCAGGTGCTGGGATTACAGGGGAGTCATTGCCAGCACCTGTCTCAGTTCCCCTCCCCTTTCCTAGACAGGGTATATCTCAGACTGGCCTCGAACTATGAAGTCAAGGATGATCTTGAACTTCTGATTCTCCTGCCTGTACTTCCTGGAGTGCTGGGATTACAGGCACACATAGGTTAATGTGGTTC